AACCTTGGTGCTGGGGCATCATTTCACGCTCTGACTGTGAATTCATGTTGAACAACCTCGCCACTCCGGGAGAATTTATTATTCGCGACAGCGAATCGCACGTAAGTTGACCCGGCTTCTTCCGCACGTACTGTTGAAAAGGTTCTTGCTAGGTTCAGTAATTGCTTAATTCACTTGACCGAGGCCGCGAATTTTTCACGATTGGGTCAACTGAATAGTGCGTTTGGGCACTTCTTTCTGAATGACTTTATTTTCATGCGGGCTTTAGCCACTTTACTACTTGTTGGATGCTTTTATTCTGATTTTCTACATAGAGTGCACCAGTAGTGCGACTTTGTTACCTTCACCGAAATCATTAATTCACGAATGACCCTCCTACCTTAAGCCCGAGCGGGTGTCACATCTTACGTACAGCCCTCGCTCTTGCATATCAAAAAAACGTCAGAAAAACACCACAGCTCAAATTTCCTTTCTAGTTACTCAGTCCTGTGTCTATTCTCTAATGATACCCATAAATTAAAGTTACTGAGATGCCGTAATTTAAAGTGACTGAACAGCAGGGTTAGAAGACGGTAAAGCGTTCTCTAGGACCAGGACGTTTTGAACTATCACTTTTACCGGACGAAGTCATATGTGGAGACCCTGGACGTGGTCTCCACTGCGCTGGCTTACGGACAACTATTGCGGTATTTAATAGTTTCGACGGAGTGGCATGTGCTTATTCACACAAACACACCCCCAAAATGCTCACTCTGGTAGCTTCAGGCGCGTTTCAGGACGTTGTTAATACCAACGAAACTACATAATGACTGGTGCCACAACAGTTCTTTTAAATGCATGTCATCACATCATCGTTCCACCTGGACGATAGTCTGAGCCCTTGCTCTACCCACACTGCAGCATGGTCGGCCTACTCCGCATAAATAGGGGCGCAAATGTTAGCCCCAGATCCTTGTCATACTTTTTAGAGTGTTATTATTGTTTCCTCTCTCTCTCTGAGCTACCATCAGGCACGTAGCTGGGGTCGAACACTGACAGTACTTCAATAACCATTCCGTTAAATAAACAATTTAAATCACCCTCATACATAAACATCTAGCTGTATTTGCGTCGCACTTCGAATAACAGTGCCCGATAAAGATGTAAAAAGTGTTTGAAGAGCTTTCGATTATTAGGGATTATCAGGCTCCAGTAGTCAAACTCGCTTGACATAAGGTTTATTATGTCCTGTTTAACTTCCGAGAAAATTCATGCGCGAACTTGGGGTAGATCCTTTGGAACAAATAATTCCAGGCTCGATCCGAAATTTGCTAGGAATATTTGAGTTGCAATCCACCAGCTACTGCGGAATAACCATGAAATATTTTTAAGCTGCTAGGAGACAGTCAGTATGGTAGACGCTTACACATGATTTGTTTTGTTGAATGTAAAGAAGCTGCTGTCCAAATAACCAGTGCCATTTCGTACAACACCAGGAAATCAGCGTTTCAGACTCCGGTTTTATGGGGAGGAAAAAAGTGGACATTCCTTCTTTCTAAACCGCTTCGATCATTATTTACATTGAACATGCTTTAGGTGGCGCTGGCGTTACGAGTCGTTATCTGAAGCTGTGCGAACAACGAGAGTAAGCCGGAGACTCGCGCGATATTAGTCGTTATTAATGCTACAGGGACCCACGATGTAACATTTGCAATGCTTGAGGAACCAACACCAACTCCAATAATTATGAAGCCCGCAAGTGTGCTTTATCTATGACCAAGAAGGTTAATAGACAGCAACATGTAGTGAACGAACGCTACTACAGCATTCATGATTTTTTTTCTTCAGTAAATAGTGAAGTTGACTTGTTCCAATACTTTTTGCGTATTCCTTCGAAGTGCGTACTTATCTGACACCGACTGTGATCAGTTGATCATACAGCTTGAGGGAATACGTATTGTTGACACCAGAATGATGTGTTGCAACGAAATGAGCATCCATTGCCATTTGTGTACCCGTTCGCGCTGTATAGCGAGTAACGAATCGCCTAATTTTAGTTTCCATTATAAAGCCAGTTGTGCTTTCACTGCTTTGAAACACTAGTGACGAGGGCTTCCACGTGGCTTACCGCTTAATTGTGTGTTGATCTGGTCCAACTTTCACATGGAGCCACTTCGGTGGGGGAGACCGTCGTGTTGCCGGATTCTTCTTCCAAACGAATGAGCTCGTCAAGAGTCTGCCTGTCTCCTCCTCCCCCCCCCTCGGAGTGACGTCCGTCTAATCTCATTAAACCTCCCGCTCTTGCCGGTATATATTCACCATCAGTATTGGCGTCTACATTTCTACAATTGCAATCAATGATGAAAAGAAGAGACTGTGCCACTAGGATGTTCCACGCCCTCGGTATGTTTTTGCCGATTGCGGACAAATTGTTTGTCCTTGTAGACCTCAACGCTGGAGTCGATAAAAGCCAGGCCACGTTGAAGGATCGTCTGGTATTTTTAGAGTACGCCGTTGAGGGTATAACTAGCTTCTAATGAGGGTTCGCGCCGAACGCTTTTCTATCGCCAACAGCATTCGACTTTGCAATCACATGACAACATGGGTGCATTCTACATCCCATTAATGGGAACTACTGGACTATTTGATTTGCGGGAGACGTGATCGTCGTAACTTTTTTTTTTCAGAACAAGGTCGGTGGGAAGCGTTGACTGCTCGATCGACCCTCGTCTTGTCTTCTCGAAAATGAGACTGTAGATCCATTCGAGAAGACTATCGTGGGAGGGGGGGGAGGAAGGCACTAATTAGCATGACCCCACCGAACGTGAGCGCAGACGGGAATTCCCCCATCATAATCAACACTAATCTGAACCACGTGCAAGTCCTAGGAGAAGAAAGCGTTTAGGACTGTTGACAGGGTTTACTGGAAGCAATTAACTCCAATGTCGTTGAAGACAGCGGAACAGCACCCCAAAACGCCACAGCAGATTCGAGGATAATGATGATGAACTGTAAATACTGATTTCCAGAAGAACTCCATGGGATCCAAATGAACAGCAAAGCCCAGAATAGAGGCACATTCTTTCATTGCTATCGTAAACTGCAGCATAATCTGTCGAACATTACAACTATCAGGCCTGCTACCAAGGCTGATTGAGACAGGAATTCAAGGGTTGTCATGAGGGGCTTCTTCAGTTCCATCAAGGCAATCTAAGACTCCCACTGGCGGGAAACACAGACTGAAATCTGAGCGCTGCTCCTTAGTGAAGCCTGGTAGGTGTGGAGGCACGGATCACCTCGTATTGGGTCTGCGTAGCTAGACTGCTTAGCTCTTTTAGCTGGTGCGCACAATATCACCTCCGGCTGCTCGCCGTCAGAATGCGGTGGTTGTGGGAAGAGAGTATGTGGTAGCCTCAGCAAAACCATGCTTTACCATAACCGACAAGTTGCGTCGGCGCCAATCTCATGGGCAGTGATGAACCTTGTCGCTCGTGACGACTCAATTATCGTAGTGGTTAGATTGGTCAGCGTTCAGCAGGGCCTAACTAATACCAAAACGTGCTCTTCTGTTGGCTTGCAGTGTGCTTGGATATTTGATCGTGTGAATGAAGGGGTTTTCGGCATTTTGTTCATTCGAACCTCTGTTCATCCACAGAACTGCAATAAAATTTCGCCTGGAAGTCGTTGCATGACTATCTTCGTCGTCGCTTTTAAAACAGATGGCATCACAATGTCCAACGTTAATGTCGTTATAATTCATAACTAAAAAGTGCACGTAGGTTGATTTAAACAGCTGTTTCCCTCTATCCACCACCCCTGTGCTTTAACAGTAAAACTACCGTGTTTTGGGAGCATGCTACGCACCTTTCCTTCCACAGTCGCTCATGATGGTAGCGTTGAGTAGGTATAGACATCCTTCTAGTGCGTTAACAGCGTAGAGTTTATTTATTTTCAAAGGCCTGCCAAATGAAGCAGTTTTTCCCCTTATTGATCCGAATGCCAGTCACTGTCATGCATCGTATTAAGATGTTTCTTTTTTATTCAAATAATATAACCTTAGCAACGTGATGTACCTCATCATTATTACTCATTATCTCAGTTTTTCTTGCCTGTGACAGTAAACATCTGTCTCATCAACTGTCGTAACTACTCATAGTTTGTTTTGCGATCAACCCTTGCCTGGCCACTTGACGATATCTCACCAGGCGTTCCACAACCCTTTAGTCGGCTTTATGTAATGCTCTACTTCTCTAGCAGAGGTAGTTTGTGACTGTTTCAGTACTTGATCGTTGAGTTATTTTCTTCTGAGAATGATTAAGAATGAGTTGAGTTCTTCTTAAAATCGGTGATCAAGTGGACTACTGCAAGTCTTAAACTCTAATGAGTTTGCGATCCTCTGTATAAACCGTATTCTGTGTATGAAAACTTGCCTTCTGTAAAATAAGCATCCTTACAGATATGGGGCAGAGATACCACGGCATAGCAGAAAAATGTAGGCCAGATGTTGGGAGCCTTTTTGACCTAGAGAGCCAAGAAAGCCAATGTTTGGAAATATATTTCAGTGAGAGCCATATAATATATTTTACGATTGAATTCAATTAAATGTGAGTATAATAAGCCTCTGGACCAGAATCACAAATCTGAATTTTCTAATTCCAATTTTATCTGAGAGAGTCAGATGCAATCATCAAAAGAGCCA